GTGCCCGGGCAGCAGGGCTGGGTGCTCTGGGGGGGCAGGGGCTGTTTCCAGGTCTGGGGGTGTGAGCCACAGTTGCCATCCAGAGCCCGGGCGGTGATCTTTTCCCCTTGTACCCTTTGTTATGTATTGTTAGATACACTGTTCCTGCTGTTGTTCCTTCTGCACCGGTGTATTCAATTCTCCTTATCTCAGCCCACAGGGGTTTTGTATTTTTGTATTTTTCTCCCTTTTCTCCCTTCCATTCGGGGTTTGGGGGGGAGGGGAAGAAAGTGAGCACCCATGTGGTACCCAGCTCCTGCCTGGGGCTAAACCACCAATAGTTTTGGTGCCCAGCATGAGGCACAAAGGATTGAGATAATAAGAGAATCTGCCCAAAGTGTGTTAAAACCATTTTGTTATACAAATTCTTTCCTCTTTGGTATTAGTTAAACAGTGCATTAACACAGCACTGGCCAATTTGCTTTCATGGTTGTGTCGAGTTAATCCTTATGTCCTGTACATGCTCCCTGTGATGGTGTTTGTCACCTCTGGGAAATGGGTCAGGGGTCTCATCCTGTGTTACTGGGTGCTGGATATGATACTGGGTTACTGGTAACTTAGGATATGATAGTGTCACTGGCTGTGAGATTAAACAGGTATGTGTATGCAGCCTTGTTGTTTTTCAGTGATCTCACCCAATCTGTGGGTGAGACAGAGGAGGAGACTCTCTCAGCTTTTGAGAATTTTGGCTATCCTTGGAACATTCAGGACAGCATGCTCTCGGTGCTGTGTGTTTTGAATGTTTGCCAAGTTTTGTTTAGGGTTACACGATTCCTCTCTGAGAACATCACCAAGAATTCTGCCCCAGGGCTGGACAGTTATGAGTGGCAGGGTGTGTGGCAGAGTATAGGCAAGTGCCTAGACCAATGATCACCTCCAATGGGTTTGGAATTTCACCCCCAAACAAGTGCAGAGAGTCCCCAGAAACTGGTAAATCACTTATAAAAGGTGTGTTGTCAACCTGGCAATCCCCAAGAAACACAAATCACAGCAATGTGTTGGGGCCTTGCCTCTGCCTACCAAGTGGTTCTCAACACTGTTCAGTGTGAGCCATCCTACCATGTCTCTGTAATGGCAACTATGTCACAGGTTTCCTGCTGCACAGTGGCTTCCAGCTCCTCCTGTTTGTTGCCCACGCTGCGTGTATTGGTGTAGATGCACTTCAGGTGGGTTACTGATCCTGCCATCTTTTGATAGGGAGAAGTCCTGTCCCCTACATGATCATTCTCAGGGAGTTTTGTGGCTTCCAATGCATTAACCCTTGCATCTTTGCTGCCATATGGGTCTCCTTCCTGCACTGAGACAGCAGACCAAAGGATCCTGCTAGCAGACTATCCCTCAGACATTGGTGACCCCATGCTGCTCTCTGCAGAGCCTGGTTTTGGCCCTTTCCCCCTCCAAATCTAGTTCAAAGCTCTTTCAATGAGCCTGGCCAACTCCTGTGCAAATACCCATTTCCCCTTTGAGACAGGTGCATCCCATCTGCTGCCAGCAGGCCTGATGTCATGTAAACCAGCCCATGGTCAAAAAACCTGAAGTCCTGCCAGTGACACCAGGCTTGGAGCCAGGTATTGATCTGCTGGCACTTCCTGTTTCTCCCCGTCATATGCTGCAGCTGGGCACACAGAGGAGAACACCACCTGTGCTCCTGATCCCTTGACCAGTCGTTCCAGGGCCCCGAAGTCTCTCTTCATTGCCCTCACACTTCTTGCTTTGAGTTTGTCACTGCCTACCTGAAAAGCCAGTGAGAGGTAATAATCTGAGGGCAGCACCAGGGTGGGAAGTTTCCTTGTCACATCTTTAATGCAGGCCCCAGGAAAGCAGCAGACTTCTCTAAGTGGGTCTGGTCTGCATATAGGGCCTTAAGTAATGAATAATGGCTGTATCAAGGGGAGACCTTTCTGATTATACCCCAATAATCTGAGTGTGTATTTTTAGTTTTGTTTTCATACATTAAACGTTTCATGTTTGTCTGAGTTTAGAATGATTTAAAGATGTAGTACAGCCCTCCTGAGAGAGGGGGCAAATTCACATCTCAATCTCTACCTCACCCACACAACTCTGCAGACTACACAAGCAATAACAGATAGCGTTCCCATAAAAGCAGCATTGGCCAGATGAAGAGCTCTTATCAGAAAAGCTTAGCAGAAAAGCTCTCAAGCCTCCAAAACAAAAACAAACCAACAGATAAAAACAAACCACACCAAAAACCTCCAAAGCACAAACGTCACCATCCCCCCAACCACCAAAACTCCAAACAAACTGGGGAGCATGTCTGAAGCTCAAGATTCTCACCAGTGTTGTTTGTACCACGTTATGTTGTACCATGTTATGTTGTGTCTTCCAATTTTTGATGGATGAATTCAGGTGATTGCCACAAGTATAGGAGTGGTCAATCCCCAAGTTCGGATTAGTATCTGCAGCTACCTCTGCAAACAGGCAGGTATTGGAGCAAGTTCAACTGTGTAAAAAAGGAGCATGTACACTTCTTATTCCCTTTGCTTTATTACAGGAAAGACCACAATGTCAACAACTGCGTTGCCTGTGGCAGGACTCTTCATCTGAAACAGGCCTTGCTCAAGGTGCATTGGATAATCCATTACTATCTGCTTTACTCACAAAGGTGGGTTGTAGACTTGATTATTAAAAGCCAAAATGTTCTCCAAAGTGTCACTATCATTCTCATTTTCTAGGTAAACTAAATGCCTCAATGGGAAATCTGACAACATGGTCAGGGAAGAAATGAGAAGAGACAAGTAAATTGTCTATCCAATGGAATGATCCAGCACCAGAGGTAACAGTGTTTGAAGCTCACTAGAAAGTTCAAAGCCATGTGATGAACAATGACACAGAAGTATCATTATGCTTAGCACAGGAGCCCACAAATGCAGCAGGAAACCCTCAGCAACAGAAGATAAACAACAAATGAACTGACATCTGGAAAAATGCACACCAGAAGACACACAAGCCGCTTGTTTGTCCTCCATACTCTGAGCCACTCTAGCTCCTTTATGAACGATGAAATATGCATTTTCTCTGATCACTACTGTGAGGTTGTTTTGATTTTCTCCCCAGACAAGGCACAGTTTTTCACCTAGTATCAGTTATCCCATAATTAAGTGTAGACAACAGAAGAGCCTTCTTAACACTAAGTCAGAAGGGACAGAAGAGAGTGAATGCTGTTTTGAAAACTACAAGTAAGCACCACTAAAATGTGTACTAAAGAGACTCCAAGAATAGAAGAGAGATTTCCCCACCTGAATGGCCCAAAATGAATGTCAAAATTCTCACTGAAAAGATAACACCAGTGGCATAGGGAATGGCACATTGGGATTTCAGGACAATTTTCAGGAAAGCAGGAAAGACTTGCAGGGTAAGCTGCTCTGATCTGCACAGCTCACTCATGGGAAGCACAATGAAAACAGCTACCTTTCTTCTTATAACATCTCATAAAAGCTTTGTTTTTTCTGGTTTCTACAGAATTATCACTTCAACGGGCTTCAGAGCTCTCTATCATCACTAAAACAACAAATAACTAGAAGATGACATCCTTAGAGCTTATCGTGAGGAGAAGATCAGAGTTCCTCAGTGCTGTCTCCATCAGGTGTCAGACAACTTTCTCTTAACACTAACATGAAAGGCAACTACATTAAGGGTTTTCTTGTGTGCCTAACTTCCCTAAATATTTTTCAACAGAAAAATTTACTAAGTGTGCTCCACAATTTGCAATTGCCTTTAAAAGTACTGACTGCTCAATCCTTATGCCTTCCTCCCCTTCCCTCCCATTTAGGAAATATCTAAACATTGCACTCTACAATGCAAAATATGTTTTCTCTTATTTGTGAAACACTTCAGTCCTGCACAGTTTATCATCTTACATAATTAAGCTACTTTTTCCCAGCTGTTGAAGCAGAAAATCAGAGACTTTGCCTTTGACAGAACTGTAAGTGAAGTGAAGTTTCAAAGTATTCTAAGAGAGAAAATATAATCTGCAAGCAACACATGGCAAACCATCTGACAAACATAATTTGTCATCATCTGTTAAGAAGGTAAATCAGGAATAAAAGAACAAGGTCTACAGAGGTTCAAAATTGTTTTTACAAACGTTTTCTTTGCAGATGAATAGAAACAGAAAGCAGAATGCATGACAGGACACAGGTTTGGAAAAGTAATCCACATTTACTGTTGTAAAATTGCTGAAGGACAACATTAAACAAAATTTGAAGTGTTTAAATCTTTGAGCTTCTCTTCCCCAACATGATGAATTTTGCTACGTGCCTGTACATGTGACAAAGCAGCACAACCGAAACCAAAAACAACCCTTCAGACTATTATTCCCAGATCACAAAACATTCCGTGGCTCAATAAATCATAACCACTTAGTTTTGTCAGCGAAGAAAAACTTAATCTGATTCTATGATTAAAATACATTCCTACCTCAGGATCATCATCATCAAAATCATGGTAAGTGGAATGATCAGGATTATTCATTTTATCCAAAAGTTCAATAGCAAGACTTCGATTTAATGGCTGGGTAACAAAAGGATGCTGAAAGGCAGAAGGAAAACCATATTAAAATTCCAACCACTCCTATTAAGCATATTTTTATAAGTATATATTTTTAACTTTATTTTTAATAATTACATACTTTAACTTTATAAGTTAAAAAAAAATCCCATACATAAATTTATACCTGTAGTAATTTTTCAGCTGTAGGTCTTTTTTTAGGATTTTTTGTAAGTGCCATTTTCACAAAATGATGAAAACTATTGGACCTGTAAAACGAAGTGGTAAGCATAAGAATCAATTGCCCAATGCAATACATGACCATAAAACAGAAAAGCACTTACCATTTCATTTTGTCCTTTAATTTAGGAGGCTGGAAGTTGCTTTTGGTCATTAAGAAAAGCGCTCTGAAAAAAGCCAACAGCATTCCTGTAGTTTGCATTGTGATACATAGATGAGATTAACTATTAAATATGTTATTTAGCTGTCAAGAAAAAGCCCAGCAGTTTAAGACATGCTACCAGAACAACATTCCACATTTGCACACAAAAAGTTGTTACAATTTCTATCATGTACATTTTGCACACGTTACAATTTGTATTGTGTACATATTTACAACCCTTGCAGCACCCCCAAATACCACAAGCACACACAGCCACTGCTCCAAATGGATTCTTTTAGAAGCTGTATTTACACACCAAGCTTTAGCTGCTTACTGACCTCATTGGATGTAGGTCAAACATTGGAGGCTGAAGTTCAGCAAGCTCTATAGCAGTTATTCCAACTGCCCACAGATCACAGAGTTGGTTATAGCCACCTTTTCTTTCTACTGCAGCAACTTCTGGTGCCATCCTAAAAGGTAAAAGATATTTTTAGATAAATTTCTTGCCACAAATCAAATGTTTTTCCTGTACAAAGCAGTTTACTATTTTCTCTAAAGCTCTCAATCAAGCTGACAGCATATATATTTATACATGTGGATATACATACATGTGTCTGTCTGTCTGTGTGCGTCTGTCTGTGTGTGTGTAAAAAGTTCCATAATGTATACATGAAGTTTTCATCAATAATCATCCAGTAACTAACAGGCAGTTTCCAGAACAGCTATTTATCAGTAAGTGGATGAAACCAATCTGCCTCAGGCTTTTCTGCAGTCACACAACTACCACTCAACAGCAAAAGAGCCTAAGCTACAATTATTGAACTGCAATAAAATTCAAATCATATCCAGATTCACGCCCCAAAAAGTGATCAGCTGACTTTGACCAGGAGGATTCTAACAAAAAAAAAAAAAGTTTTGACAGCTTTCTTGTAATCTGAAAGCATGAGATATTGTCTCCTCTGCACAGAGCACTCCTTCTTTGTAAAGTCTGTAATGTCAGAGAACCTCATTTACATTAGTTTCATGTCCTCAGGCAGCAAAAATTAGCAGACATAAGCGACACATAAATAGGAATACCCAAAGGCAATTATTCACTAGGCTTTATCGCATGTTTTGAACAGCCAAAGTGAACTACAGATTTGATTGTCCTACATACTCACATCAGATGGCAAACATCAATATTTTTTAGTTTTTGAATTTATTAGTTCAGGTCACCTGAAAAGTAGCAGTGGAACTGGAGAGGTAACCCAATACAGGAAAGACAGATGAATGTCACTTAATGAGTGCTGAAGTAAAGCAGCAGGCAACATCTCAAATGAGGCATTATTTAAACACAGACATCCTTATCAGTAGATCTGAAAACATCAAAAAACTTATTCCCAGTTCACATAGTTAAACTATATTTACACAGATTCCTTGAAGAGTTCATAAAACCCACAAAATCACTCTAAAAAAAAAAAAAGGTGGGAGTTACTCAGGCAGAGGGGGAAGTTAACTTCTGAAATCCATGGAGGAAGAGCCCAAGGGTTAGTAACAGAGTTCCTAGAACACAAGACACTGCATGGCAGTTTTGCCCTTCATTTCTCACTCATCCAAGAACCACAGCCTTACCTGCCCAGACACCACTAATGATCACTACACCTTCACACTGCCTGTTTCCAACTACAGTTCCTTCTGCATGATCTCAATAATTTTTCTTGCTTCTCCTCTCAAAACCTCTGAGAAGTGTTGCAAAGAAAAACAGGCTTTTCAGAAGCATTTATCTCATATAATCGTTTCAAATTATTGTTTAAGGTTATGAGATGTAACTTGAGAAGCCTGGCACAATTTGATAGTTATGCAGTGATACAAGCCAGGACTAAAGTAACCCAGACATTTTAGGAAAGACAGACAAACCAGTTACACAATCATGACTGGTGGGTGTCTGTGTTACTCCGAAAGGGAAGTGAATCCATGCCTTGGTGTAACTTACACTGCAGAATAATGCTAAACATAATGTGTTTCACTATTTCAATACTGGATACTTGGAAGCAGGGCTTTTTCTTTTCATTACATACAATTTTTGTCTTGCACCTGCTACCCTGTCAGACAACAGAATTTTTAGTATCTTTCTGGGAATGTGTGTCCTTTACTTCAAGGCAAAATGGGAACAACCACTTCCAGTAAGAAGAGAAGATAAAATGCCAAACTTTAGAAAAGATAAATTATGCAAACTAGCTTAGTGAGGGCAGAATAAACGTGCAGAACAGATAAAACAAAAATGTCCATTTGAATTCAATTGGTTTGGGCAAATAAGGGGAAAATAAAGGAAATTGTTTAAAGGAAACATTTCTCAAGTGGCAAAAGAATCTCCGGAGGCAAACAAATGAAATTCATCAGCCAAAGGAGAGTAACTGAAAGACAGAGATGTATCTAGGGAGATGTATCTAGGCTAGAGGGGAAGAAACATAAAACAGCAAAATGGAAAATCAGGGAAGAAAAAACCCACAACTTTAAAATTCAGAGTTAAAACCAGGCAAGATTGTTGACAGAATGTAAGTTTGACTAAACTGAGGTACATTAGTCAACAGTGATAGCAGCACACAGGCAGCCTCTAGATTTCTCAGAACATTAAGACCACTTTCTCCAATACTCAGCTAAGTCAGGACTTAGACTAACACAGATATGATCACTAGAAAGTCTGACAGAGCCTTCAGTGATTACCCAAAAAGTGGCACAGCATGCTTTTACCACAATTTTTCAAGAGTACATTACTATTTTATTTTACTATTAATATACATTACTATTACATTAATGGTCAAATAAAACACAGTTACCAATATGGGGTGCCAATGAACGATTTCCTTTTGGCAATTGTTGCTGTTATCTGTGCTGACACTCCAAAATCAGCTGTTAAAAAAAAGCGCAAAACCCAAATGGCAATTAATAACTGATCTGATGTAATTAATTGTTACTAAACACACGTTTGGTTCCAAACTCTTAAATATTCTGGAAATATTTAACATAAAATAAAAGGAAATCATGGAAACTCGATATATGTCAGATATCACCAGCAGGTCACAGCCCCTCACAGCTGCCTGCCAAACAGGCAGGCTGCACACAAACACGTCCCTGATCAACGCAAGAAAGAACTGGCTAGCCCATAAGTCCCTACAGTTACATGCAGAGTTTTAACATGATCAAATACATCATTTAGTACCATCCAAGAGATTAGTTCAGATAACCTTTCAAGGCACATTTGACACTTAAGCACTTTGGATGGCACATTTTATTAAAAATTTATAAAAACCTGTGATTCGAATTTTACTTCCCCCTTACAACACCAGAAAAGTCTTTCAACTCAGTGTTCCAAAATTACTTCAGTTACTCCTTCAGACACTAACTGGATGGTGTAGTTAAATATTACCAGCAAGTGAAAATAATTCTAGTATTCACTAATTCCTAACATGAATCATTACACCATTAAATAAAACACAGAAGACTGCTTCTTAGAGCACATTAAAATGTTAAGACTAAATTGTATTAACTCACCTAATTTTACATGTCCGTTATCCGTTAAAAGAATGTTTGCTCCCTTAAAAAAAAAAAAGTAAGCAAACCTGAATTAAAACAGATTTCTTTGACACCATATTCAAAAGACAAACAAAAACAAACAAATTAAAAAAATTCTGTGAGATCTTATGGCAAACTAGGGGCCAAAGACAAACCCAGCATTGTGTGTTCAAGGAACCTGCATCTTTACCAAGGTAATGTTTGGAAAATCAGCAAGTTGCCATTCTGCTTTATAAAGAATCTCAGATATATAGGGTTTCTCATTAATTTTTAATTTAGTACTCTTTAGCCTTGAGAGTTTCCACTGTATACAAAACTCCTCTCAAAAATCAGAATATGATGATTTGCCTATGCTGATGAATTCTTACTTTTTTTATTTACTCTGACTGAAAGGAAATAGGAACTCTAAAGTTCAAAGCAGAGGTAACTGGATTTTCTTTTCATATGTAGGAACTGGTTTTGTCTTGAGAGTCATAATTAAATTTATAGCCTTTAGGACCTGCCTTGATATTCAAGTGTTTAGCAAAACTATCTCCATCCTTATGCAACAGAAATTCTGTTAGTGCTCGATATGAGGAGTTTGCTTTTGCATGGCTGGATGTACCACTCACTTCAGTTCCACAATTTAAACAGACCACACGCAGCAGTTGGTACCATAAAATTACAACACGAAAGGACTGAGAACAACTCTGATCTGAATATAGGAACTAGGTACAGGCTGAGTTGAGTGAAGGCTGGAGCTGGCTGAACCCAGCTCAAAATGTCAGCACTGCCCATAAACTAGATGGAAAGGAAACACAGATGGGCCTCCAAAAAAAAAAAAAAAAAAAATGTTTTTACAGGTTATGGCTTCTCACAGAGAAGGAAAAGTAAAATGCAGCCTACTTTGGCAAATGTAGCACAACTACAGTTATTGAGCCTTATAAACAGAGCTTGGTAAAGACTGTGACAGTCCAGTTAACATGCTCTTGACCTTGTCCACCTTTCAAGTGTTATAGGACAGATACACTAAATACATAACTTAGCTAGTGAGGAAAGAAAACATCATCCAAAAGTCAAGAGATCTAAAATGAAGATTTCCATACTTCCATACATGCATTTTAAAGAAAGTTTTCTTCTGTTGGGTAGAAAACTATTTTACTCTTATAGGTAGAAAAGCCCTACATATCTTCCAAGTCGACACATAACAGTAAAGATCCATCAGAGGTGATGTAACTTATTTAAGAACACCAAAATTACCTTCAGTTTTTACCTACCTTTATATCTCTGTGCATTTTTCCTTTACTGTGAAGATAATACAGTCCCTGCATAAAATATTTAGATAATAATTTAGTCTAAAATTTTTCATTTTACATACATTTCTTAGTTAATTACCAGACACATTTAGGAGCCAGTTCAATCACCTAAATGACGCACTGACTGAAGAACATTCTTATATTTCAGTGTGTCCTAAATGCAAATTCAAGATAGGTAGTAGCATAATATCCAAAACACAGGACAGATGGAAAGAATATCAGTTAACACATCTATTGTGGGAAAAGCATTCCCCAACCAAATTTCCCTCTCAACATGGTAACTGTCACCTTTCTAGAGCAAGTTAGCTGCTTTTAAATTGCTTAACAACCTTCTGTTCTTCTTCACTACCAGGGTGGTGAGACACTGGAGCTCAACCCTAATTCATGGATTTCTGCAGAAGGCTGCTTTTCTGTATCTCAGTGTCAGTACCAAAGCATTTTAGGACTCAACACAAGTTAGAAACTTTAAATTCTGGAAGAATTCTATGAAACCAAATCCCTGAGTGATAAAGGACACTTTTGACACTCCAGGCTTATCTCCAAAATTCTCTTCTGGGGTAAAACAACATGTAAACATCTTCCTCACTCTATGGTCATGAACCTCCATGAAGACTGTATTACATGTGAGATACCCATGTCAAGACAGAACTTATTTGCAAGACCTCATGGAGTTGGTTGTAGAAAATAAATTTGGATGGGTTTCAGTTATCAGGATTTTCATGGATGGTCTTCATTATACCAACAGGAAAAAAGAGGAAACGATTCCTTACATGATTTAGTACTTGACATTTTTAAGTGAACAACAGTGTACAGATACACTGCACAGAAGATACAGTTTTGAAGTAGTTTTTTGTTAGTTCCTGAAAATGTGAATGCAAATGTAGCTCAGGGGCTACTCAGTTATGAAATTCAACTCCTTCTAGAAACTAAAAAAAGAAAGAAAAAAAACCACTCATAGATGTTTTAACTTGCTCCTCTGGGGGAAATACTAACAATGCCCAGTTGCTCCAATGCTTTTTCAGAGTCCTCACTGCGGGTATAAACACAGACCCGAAAACTGGACTCCATTTGGTTTTGGTAGAGAGCTTCATTAAAGCATCTACCTGATGGTTTCATCAACTGGCATTAGCTAGAAGAGTCTCATGTACACTCCTTGCATCTAAATCTCTGGATGCTACTGGCACAGAAAGCCCAAAAACTTCCTCATATTTACCACTGTGGCAGAAGAATTTGAGGTCACCATTTTTGAAACTGCATGCCTGGAGGAAGGTACTTTAAAGGCCATATTTAAAGAACCTATATTTTCAGAATCAGTCTGACTCCAATCAAAATTACTGTTTTTGAAAACAGACCATGTAATGAGCTTCTAAACAGGTAGACTGAATGCTAATGTCAGGCATTCAAGTGAAACCTGAACTCATGGAAACTAATGGGAATATTAACACTGGACAAATTACTTTTATGGATGGACAGCTGGCCTATATTACTACACTTTTTACTAGAAAAAGCAAGTGCTTCATTACAAAACAACAAGATAACAGAAACTATATATATTATATTTGGCCAGAGTGTTAAAGGCATTTAAAGACAACTTTAAAATACACAAAAATGGATCCACGGATAACACTTACAGAATACAAAGTAGCAAGTTTCTGTTTCACAAGCAATTTACACATATTGACCAAGAACTCTTCCCACACAATAAATAATGATGTCATAAATTCCATTCTAGACTACTGAAACACTCCTACATACTGCAAAAATATTATGGATCTGATGGACAGACCATGCAGTGGGTAAGGAATTTTTTGGATGGTTGTATCCAGAGAGTAGAGCTCAACAGCTCAACGTTCAGATGGACATCATTGACAACTGGAGCCCCTCAGGGGTCTGTATTGGGATCAGTACTGTTTAGTATCTTCACCAGTAACACAGACAGTGGGATCAAGTGCACCCTCAGCAAATTGCAGATGACACCAAGCTAAGTAGTGACGTTGACATGTCTGAGTGATGGGCTCAAGAAGCAGGCACACGTGAAACTCATGAGATTCAACAAGACCAAGCGCCAGGTCCTGCACTTGGGTCAGGGCAACTCCCAGTACCAATACAGGCTGGAGGATGAAGGGACTGAAATCAGCCCTGTGGAGATGGACTTGGGGGTTACTGGTGCATGACAAAACTGGACATGGACCAGCACTGTGTGCTCACAGCCCAGAAAGCCAATCACATCAAAGGAAGCATGGGCAGCAGGCTGAGGGAGGCGATTCTGCCTCTCTGCTCTACTTTGGTGACACTCCTCCTAGAGTACTGAACCCAGCCTCGGAGTCTCCAGCACAGGAAAGACATGGGAGGTTTAGACTAGATACAAGGAAGGTATTTTTTACGAGGGTGGTAGAACACTAGAACAGGTTGGCCAGAAAGGTTGTAGATGCCCCAACCCTAGAAACTTTCAAAGTCGGGTTGGACAGGGCTACAAGTAACCTAATGTAGTTGAAGATGTTCCTGCTCACTGCAGGGGGGTTGGACTAGATGATCTTTAAAGGTCCCTTCCAACTTAAACCATTCTACAATTCTGTAAGAACAAAAGGGTTTAAGGGATCAAAAACCAAAAGACTCCCAGATGTCACATATGACTTCACTTTATGGAAGAAAAGCCATGTCCTGTAAGTCAGAAGCCAGCAATCTCTGGCATAGTACAGGGAGATGGTAAGTGGCATGCAAAGGAGCTGGCTCAGTGACAGAGCTATCTTGAACGAGTGTTTGAGAGAAGAGTGTTTGAGAGAGGCAGCAGCTTTCAGCTGATGGCATTCAACAGATCTGCATTCATTAGGAGCCAAGAGCTGCTCTCTCACATGAAAGCAAGACATCCATTAAAAATGCTGTTTCTGATTGTTTTACTGGTTAAGTGAATCTTTAATTTATGAAAGGAAAATGAAAGCTAGCATACACATGAGAAGGGGCTGGTGACCTTAACTTGAACATTTCAACTACCTGGGTGGATTTTTTTTTTCCTACTGGCAAAGATCAACTATCAGATCTGCAACACTGGGTATTTAAATCTTCCTTCAAACATGCAATACCTAATTTGCATCACAAATATGGTTTAATAAATATGCTGCTTCTCTCCTTTAAAAAAAAAAAAATTAAGAGCACAAAGATTATTACAGTTTTCTTCAAGTGATCCAGGATAATTTAAGGTTAGACAATTAAATGTATCAGTTCTAGGCTATAACACAGGACCTCCTCAAAAGTCTGAGAAAAATGCTAAGCCACCCAAATACTGTATTTCTATGGCATCACATATATTTATAGCTTTTATTTTTAGCTTTTAAGACTTTTACATTAAAAGTCAATCACGAGAACCTGAGAACACACTACCTGTAGAGTTTCTCTGCTAACATAGGCAATCTGCTGTTCTGAAAGTGGTCCAGTCACTGAAATGGAAGGGAAAAAAAAATTTCTCAAAAATCAGGTAAGATACTGCCCATTCCAAACCCATACCTCAGCTACTTCCATTCACACTGATTGGGTCTTACACTCGAAGTCTCACAGTAAATGTGCTTCCTCTTCCCCAGAATGAGGATTCAAAAAAACACCAAGTATTTTTTAAACTCTAAAGTCTAGTCCTGTCAGAATGGAAACTACCTCCATATATAAATCCCAAAGGACAATGAAAAGGAAACAGAAACTGAAGCAGCAACTTATGCACAACACTTTCCCCTGCACAAACCCATCATGTCCTTCCATGCAGGGTGAGACTTCCAACCTAGTGACTCAGAGCTACAGTACACTCCAGTCAGTCCCCTTCCAGCCCTAGGAATTTCCTTCTATCCCTTGCAACCTGCTCTCTCCTTCCATCCTTCTCACTGCCATGTGACCTGCTATATCTTCCCTGCAGCCACATGATCTGCTCTCTGCAGCTTCTCCACCCTCTTCTGCATGAGCCACCAACACTGTTGCTCCTGGGCCTGCCACACCGTGTACATTCTCAAACTCTCCTTCTAAGCAGGCTCAGTAGTTTCCTAAGGGAACAAGGAATCCTCCTCTCCCTCCAGGGTCTCACTTCTCTCAAGTCTCTTTAAGGAAAAGCATTAAATCCTGAACAAACATGTAAACCAAACACGGAAGAGCAAGCAAGGAAAGGCCTGTGACTCATCCCCAGTCACTGGACTTTGATCCCAAAATTAAAGCATTTTAAGAGCAGAAAATGCAGGCTTCACAGCAAGCTTCTCAGGTTTTGCAGAGAAAACAAATACAAATGTCAGATGGGATTTCTCAAAGGAAACTGAAAAAGTGAGGACTTAAAAATGAAACAAGATTTAAGGACCAAACACTGCTTAGCTTCTACAAAACCCATAACCATAGTATAAATCAGTGCTGTGCAATATGTATCTTCAAAACATGTCTAGATCAATCTTCCCTTGTCTGAAAGAGAAGCTCCAAATCCACATAAAACTAAATATATTAGCACCCAGAGTACATATTTTTAGGCATGCACATTTATTTTTGAGAATTTAATTCTGATTAACTTAAATGACTTAAGATTATAGGTCTTAAGATCTTTACAGATCTTAAGTTCTTTTAAGATCTTAAGATCCTATAGATCAATTGGAATAGGACCCTTTGGGACATAATCAAGTTCAGAAGAGAACTTTCCACTCTTAGCTACTGGTAGAAAAGCCAAAAATCATCTGCAACAGGAAATGGTTCCTGTACAATGTCTGTTCAGGCACTGATATGGCACAAGCTCATTTCCTGCTCTACAGGTGTTCCATGTGACAAAGTATATTAGACACAACACTTTCATCAACACTAGCAGAGCTGCAAAGGATCAACAAGATGATCTATGCCATGAGCATGGTGTGAACTTCTGAATTGCTGCATTGTTTTAATTGCATCTAAATTAAACATAAAAAGGTATATACGCTCTTTACCTCCAAGAAAAGGATGTGAAGATCCTAACACACAAAATCTTTACAACTTTAGAATGTGGATGGATTTACTATCTATCTGAAAACCATCACCTAAGAACCACAGACCCATTGCTCACAGCAGACTCCTTACCTAAGCAAAGGGACCTTCATTCCAGGTCAATAAACCCCCTCAAATCTGATTTTGCCTCTTGAAAAATAGTAATCAACTGATCCTCTCTTTATGCAATAGATTCATACATGTTTCTCTGGCCACTCACTGCACCTAAGCATACAGCATAAAAAGGCTACAAACATACAAAATATCACCATTTACAAAGGACAAGAGCATCTATGACAATCAATCCACTTATCTAGGAATCTGTAGGCACTGGTATAAATTATGCTAAAGCAAAGTTCAAAAGCTCAGAAATAAAATTGCTATGAAGTAAGAGAGCACATAAGGATATCAACTTTTTATTTTCACAATACAGTACTGTCTAATTTTACAGCCTCTGAAAAGTAGCAACGGGTATATGAGCTACTGAAGAAAGAAAATAACTTCTGCTGCTCAAAAAAATCCCACTATAGCTAATTTTGTTTACAAAAATCCAAACCAATTATGCATTACATATTATAAATAAGCTAAAATTTACTTTCAATGACTATGGATCCTAAATTTGTTTCCTCCTCTCTGATTCCAAAACACTGTAATCATCTACTCTTTGGAAAATAAGCTTTGCTCAGATTTTAAGGAATTACAGTGTTGACATACCATGATAAATATCCTGCAGAGAGCCACCTCCACAAAACTCCATGCAAATCCATAGCTTGTCTCGTCTAAAAAGTGAACAAAACCATTCATTAGCTGTCAGGTTTGAAAGCAGCACCTATAAAAGATAAGTCAGAGAACTCAAGCATTGAGAAGTACAACACAACAAGCTCTAGATTATGAAAAACACAAGTCAAATAATTAATATGATTTAACCTTTATGTGCTACTTAACTGTCAAAATAGTAACTACTGAAATACCAACAATATTCCAGTGTTTACTGGAGCACTAGAAACTGTAGTAGTGAAATGTGCACATTGATTTTTGTTCAAGACCTACTATGAAAACAAAATACATTTTTACTGACAATAGAAACAAAAACAGATGTCAGTTCTTATTTCTTCCTCATGTTTGCTTCTCCTCCACTTTTTCTAGAGCAGAGGAACACCAAAAAAAAAAAAAACTAAAAAACCAAACCTGAAACCCAACCAAAACAAAAAAACCCCAACCACACCAAATACAACCAAACCCAAAAAAACCCACAAAAATAAACCCAAACCAAAAAGCCCTAGGGATCTCTCTCACCTCTATTTCCTTCACAATAAACGGAATGAAAGTCTAGTGCTTTAGTCAAAACTAGGCAGAATGGAGCCCATGCTGTGGGTAACTGCCTTCTTAGATTAATTTTCTCTCAAAAATATCTAAGGATACTTTTGGTAGCAAGGGTCAGAAGGAAGTTCTTTAGATTCCTCTCCCTAAAGGAATAAATTCCATTTGACTCGCTATACCTCCATAAAAGGTGCTTTCCAAGAATACACAATGGGTCGAAGGATTCAAAGGTATCTTCCATTATGGACACTAAATTCTACTTTCACTTAGTAATTTTCAGTGTAAGACAGATGCACCACGTATGGCCACAGAGAGGCATTTTGGAGAGTTGAAAATCAGGGGCTTGCCTGGTTATTCTTGGCCATCAAAACACAGGAAGGAAAAATCACCTACAACTACCTTAGGGCAGACTGGGACACAGGACAACCAAAGGAAAGACTGATGATTGTTCTGCAGCTTGCCCATAATCCCTGGTCTTGGGTTCTTGCATTCATAAAGCTCTGCTAGAATAGCTGGGACACTCCTTTAGGCAATGGAAGAGTTAGGCAAGAAAATGGTGTAAGTGCAAAGCTTATCCCCTGAGCTCCAGTTTGCAAGTAATTCTCACCAGCAGGTAACAGCTGCAGCTGTTTAAGGAAGAACTGTCCTTCTTGAATCCCCCCCCTTTTTAAGTCCATAGTCCACATTGTCCTCAAAAGCTATGCCCCAGTTGCTTCCTCTAGCAGTAGCAAAAGCATCGTTCAGGCATTACAGAGGTTTTAAGCAACTGGAGTCCCTACCTGTTAACTCCATACATTTCTAGGCAATGTAGATGCTACATGCTATTTCTAAAGCATTGACTGAAGTGTGAAGGCTTTCCACTGAAATAACTGATGCAAGTCAGACACACAAGCAACTTAACTAGCTGTGAAAGAAAACAGAACTACACTGGCACAGGGGAACATAAATGAGAAAGCAGCATTGAAGAGGCAGACATCTACACCCCGCTGAGATGTGGGACCCACGGGGACAGTGCTGGGGGCAGTGGGCTCATGAAAGCCCCTCTTTCCATGTGGCTGCATCCCATTCAATGCCACCAGCAGCAGCAGCGTGGGAGTGGGAAAAAGCCAGGACAACTCCAGCAGCCTTGAGACAGCAGCAGAGCACCCATCAAGTAAGAGGGATGAAGTAGATGTGTGCTGTAAACTCACACCTTCACTTATTGGACATTAACTTCCCAGCGTGGAAAAGCCCTTCAGTAAAGGCAAAACCACAAGAGGATCAAAAGAAGAGATTGCATTTCTAATTCACTATCTAGCCTTTTATTACTGTGCCTGAGTGTTTTGAGACAAGATGTAATCAACAGTAAGTGTGCACAGTTGCCTGTCTGCAAAGCATATGGCAAGCACAGCAAACAGAACAGAGACAGAATCAACAGCACCATTTAGTGTCTGCAACTCAACACCTAGGCTAACAGCAAGGCTGAAATCTGACTGTCTGAAAAACCCATAAGTAAACTGAAGAAAACCAAATATGCTGATAAGTGCCAAATATAGGATGATGGTATTCTTACTTGGAAAACAAAGGCAGACAATGAGAGGCCTTACAGACAGCTATTGGATTGCCCACACAAAAGAAGCATTACACCAAAGAAAGAGGAGGGGACCAAGAGGACCGAGGAGAGTGCCAAATACATACTCTTGCCAAAATTTAATTCTGGGTCTACAAAGGTGTGTTTTGATACCCTGAGACAAGGGCAAAATTGTTCTTTAAAGAAAAAGCACCCCCGGCCTGAATACAGCATCATGGAAAGAGGCACCATTTCAATCTAACAATTTTAAAGAAAGTTGAGAGCAACATCAGTATTTCTCATTTTCACATTAAATGTCACAAGCCATCAGAAACAGCTTTTTGTTAGTTATACTAAGTGACCTGTTCCTACTATGACTTGTTAAAAGAAGCAGCTGGTAAGACCACTGGGTACATTTGTCAGTGCTTCAACAGTGCAAGTAATCTCACCTCCAGACACAAACAGAACCACCACATTTCTGGGCAGAAGTTCATAGGTGAGAAAAACATCTTGGGGTAACTTCAGCAACACTGCAGAGCCCCAGCTCTCCCCTTTTAATTCTAAATTTGTCTTCTGTCAGGGTTTATAACAACGACTTTCAGGTTTGTAGAGCATGCCAGACTTAGTGTTACACATAAGACAAATGTCGACACAACTTCTTTCCCAGTAATGGAGACAGGTACAAATAAAGTCACTGTGTGTGGTGGAGGTCATCTTAACATACTAAAAGGTGCTCTCTTCCCAAACAAAGGCAGGCTTTGAAGTTGGGAGGAAGATTAAGGAGGTACAATACGATGGTGGGACAATATATTGTCCCCAGCCACACAACTTTCAGAATATGCAGCATCCATTTAAGAAACTTGGGTCACCATAACAGAGAGCTTCCAAATACTGTCTTTAGGAGATCAGGAGAGCCCTTGCCAACTTTAACACCTGACAATCTGCTGTCAAACACAGTAGTTACTCCACAAATGATCAAAAAAATTTAAACATGACTCTGAGGTATGTAGCAGTACCAAGTACTGGCTCTTCATCCACAAGAAAAAGCTTGTCAGTACTGCACAGAATGGAAGTTAAGCACAATTCAGGTTAACATTCAAATTAACCTTAAACATGCAAACCTGAAGTGCAGACACTCCTATCTTGGAATACCAAGTCCCTGCACGTACACGCACTATCTGGATGCACATCCACACAAGCTTTTATGTAATGCAGCTCACAGATCAGCTTGGCCTAAAAAAAGCATTCAGGCTGCCAAGACAAGGACCTTTGAAGGCACAGGATGCCAGAACAGCATGGCTTCTTGGTTCCATCTTCAGACTTAGATCCCTTCCTGCACATGTACACATAATAATGCAAGGAGTACCCAGTCCCTCAGAGTAGCACACAGATGGTGTTCAGCTAATGGGCTAGTCAATAGCTCGCCTTCCTCCTCCTTCTCGTACCTTCCGTGCATTTCCACTTAATCTTATCCTGAAAACACATTTGCTCTTGGAAATTTCATTCATGCTCCACTAGTGAAACTCCGTATCACTATGCCTGCGAAGCACTCATATGACCAGCTTTTCCCCTATGGACTTTTGACACAGCTATAAAGCAAACAATTCAAAACACAGATCATCTTGTCCTGAACCACATCCGTCAGTGTGCAATGCTTTCACCAACCTGACAAAACCTAACAAGATACTCAGATTGAGAAAGATGCAATGAACCTCACCAGTGACAAAACACAGTTTCAGTAAACGTCCAGGGCTACTCAGGACACTGAATACAAGAAGCAGGGTGAAGAAACTCCTCAGGACAGCATTTGTCAGCTGAGCTTCCACTTGAGACCTCTCCTTCTCCTTCAGCATTTATTGCCAGGACTTTCTTTCCTCCCTGGAATTACCTCCAAGTTCTGGCACACTCAACTGCCCAATTTCAGTTTGCTCCAACTATGCAGACATTCAGCATCAAAGTCACCAAGAGCATCACAAAGCATTCCACACTTGCCACTTCAACATCCTGTCCCAGCTCACCACAGAGCAAAAATAGGAACACGCAACAACCACCAAGCAGGCCAGGGAGCATGTGTTAGCTCTTCTGCAGGGCTGCAGACATACACCAGAGAAGACACTGCTGGCTAGAGAAGAAACAGTAACTTTGATTTTATAAGCTCTAGCTTATAGAGAATCATAGAATCACTGTGGTTGG